GGGAAACTTCCATGACACAAACTGAGATACTTGTGGGGGAAATAAAAATAAACTTACGAAAAAAATCGGATGTCACATCCAAAGGAAGCCAGAAAAGGTCATCAGGAAATCGGAAGTAAATTTCCAGAAGTAGCCATTTCCAGGGAAAACCAGAAGAAGCTCGGAAAAACCATCCAATGGAAGTCGAACAAAAAAACCTTTGGCTTATGGTCAATCTTCCAGAAGAAGACGAAAGAAATTTCTGGGAGAATAAATTGAACTTCCTGGAGAAGATGAAAGAAGCTTCCTGGAGATGCTGGCAGAAACTTCCTATAGGTAGATTGGAAGAAACATCTGACGGAAGTGGGAAGCCAGAGCGCTTACGGAACAGTCGAAAGAAACAAGGACATAATTCTTAAAACATCCCTGAAGACTCCGTAATTTCCCTAAAGTTTTCGGAACATTCCTGAAATGTACTTTGGAATATTCCATAATTCCTCCAAATCCCTTAAAAGTTCTTGTAATTTTCCTAAAATTAGGGGCTGTTTTGGTTCTCTGGCCACCCTTGAAGCGCTCGGAATTTCTTTGATTATAATGAGAATACCGAAATATCTCTTATCATCTTTGAAGGTCTCTGGACTTTCTTGAAGATTACGAAATCTATTAGGTGCTCTCACAATTTTCTTGAATTTGTTGTAACATCAGCATTGAAGTTCTCTGATCTTCCCGATTTTTTTTTAAGTTATCGACACTGCCATTAAAAAGCAAATACACTCAGGTCTTTTTTTACACGGGGGATACGTACCGTGTAAAAAAAACCGTGTAAAAAAAAACCTACGAAATTTTGATTTTTCGCATGCTTAAATGTTTTTAAAAATCGGATTTTGATGCCATTTGTAATTAAAGCATGATATGGTCCATACAGACATATTTTAAAAATTTCTGTATTTACACCAAAAATTGTGATTTTTTTCTAAGTATGCCATTCGATTACCTATAGCTTGAAACGGATAATGTGATTGGAATCAAGTCCATAGGTTGTATCGTTGTCGAGAAATCGTTAAAAACGTACCGTGTAAATCGTAAAAAACCGTGTAAAAATAACCGTGTAAAAAAAACCGCGTAAAAAAAAACCGCGTAAAAAAAACCGTGTAAAAAAAGACTTCAGTGTATATAAAATATTCTCACATTGTTTGTTTGCCTCACTGAAATTAATTGATCTGTCCTGATGTTCTCTGAGCTCCACTAAAGTTCCTGGAATCCATTAAATTTCCCTGAAGTTTTTTTGGACTTGCGAAGTTTCCAAAATATTTATGATGTTTCCTTAAGTTCACTGGAGCTTGCTGGACTTTTCAGAAATTTTCGGGTTTTCGAATTTTAAAAGAAGTTAATGACACTGTCATTGATTTATTGAAACTTACACAAAATTGTGAACTGTTCTAAAGTTTCAGAACTTCTTAAATGTTCCTGCAGCTAGTGTGGATCCGCAATAAAAATCTGATAGCATCCTTGAAGTTCCGGGAAGCTTCCAAGGTAAGGTGGAAGAAAATTCCAGGGAAAGTTGGATGAAGCTTCAGGAAGTTTAAAAATGAATAAAAACTTCCGTAAGTTAAATAATGTTTAAAATATATTTCTCGATTCCCTAGGAATTACCGGAAAGAGCCATCTGCTATTTCTCGATTGATGGGTAGCCAAAAACGGTAAGGAAATGCAAACATTAGTCGAAAGAGTATCAAGCATAAGGCATAATTAATGGACCATCCCTTATATACAATTGATATACGGCAGTGGAGTATGGAAGAAACCCAGAAGAATGATCCCGAACAGATATGTCGGCCCGATTTCGGATCAATGTAAGGTCAATTTATGGTCGACGTCGGCCAAATGTCGGGTCGATGTCGGGTCAATTCTGTGTTTATGTCAGGTCAAAGTCTGGTTAACATCTGGTTGAGGTTTGGTAGAAGTCAGGTTTGTGTCGGGGCTTATATTTTTCGCCGGAGACCGCGCGTTTTTAAAAAATATCGGATGAAAATTTTGCAATGTGCAGCACGAACGTGATAGCAACCGAACGAGCTCCGGCGGCACACTGGTAGTGTAGTAGCAGTCTTACGACATACAAACAAAATTTCAAAGCAGCAGCAACGAATCTGCAGTTTAAAGGACTGCTTGTTGTATGTACGAGGAACGTTAAGAATGACCATCCGAGGCTGTCATAGCCGAACGAACAAAATACATGACTAAGAACGAGCTGTCGTGTACTGCACAATACGGCAACGTTGGATGTCGTATAACAGCCTCACTGTGGGCTGTCGCTTATAGCTCAATCTCAAGGCTGTCGTAGGAAAAAGAAAGCGACAGCCGTTGGAATACTGTCATGAGGCGGTACTTTTGGTATGCCTGGTTCCAAGACATATTGGAACCAACCAAAACTCGCACCAAAATTTTAGTCGCATTCTGTTGAGGAAGTGAAGAGATTTTTTCGAGGGTCAATATTACTTACATTAGAAGGGCCTACCTCATGTAGAGTGTCGTCATTCGATAATAATAATTCCCTTGCATGGGAATAGTCGTCGTTACTTCCTTTAGTAGAGTGCGTCAGTGCCGTTGAAATTTTGGAGGACTGTAAAATTTGCGTGCGATCTCCCTAGTTTGCTGCAGTCGTTGTGTGCGTTCACTAAGTAGGAACGCGCGGTGTGAATTCAGGTCTGCCAAAGCGTCGGTGCGTGGAATTCCGAGTTCTTCGTGAACGTCCAGGAAAATTTCGCGTAAAAGGGCTGTTTCCGTCGGTAGTCCTTCTGAGGCATAACATCTCTGATCACGCCTTCCTTCGGATGGGAAGTAAAGCCGTTTTTCCCCCGGTTCATGAGTTGATGGGTCGATAGGTAGGGTCCAGGTGTGGGCGCTGCCTTTCCTGGCACGTCGGTAGCATTGGTGCTCAGCACGGAAAACAAGATCGACGGAAAAAACAAATCAAAGGAAAAAAAAATTCTCAGGACCTCGTACCGTAAATAAAACGGTCTTACACGGCTAGGCTCGGAAGTCAAGATGGCTTCCGAGCCTAATAGTAAATGATCCTCGATCGTCCGTCAGGGACGATTCCCTCAGGCCGGTGGCCTTAATTACCAAGGAGGGTCCCGTCTCGGCTCGACCAAGGTGGCCATGCCACGGTCAGCCGATGCCGTCAACGACGGAAGACGCCTGCCAGCCAAACGAGCCAGCAACGCCTGCTGAGCCGTATGTGGCTGATGAACGCCACCAGATCCGCCATTATCCTAAAGCTGCAACACTGTCTGCAGCCCGCGCCGCAAGTTTCCGGCCACACGGTAGTGCAGGAGCAGCCGTGTGGGCCAACGCCAGCGTCGCGACACCGTAGGAGATCCAGCAGTGAGTACAGTGCAAATTTTAAACCCTAGCATACACGCCACATATATGTGAAAATCCACACCCACACGCCACAGAAAAGGGCAAATAAATGTGTTAGAAAATGTGAATATTCCTGTGTTTCATACTTTGTCCGCGTAGCCCCTCCGAATACCCAGTAACATGCCGGCCCTGCGACACAGTTCAGGGGTCTCATGCTACTGAGCTAGTTACCCGGGAGTGTCTGCCATAGTCACAATGTCCATAATTTTGTGGTCCCGCAGCCGTGCCTTCAAAAAGCGTCGGTCGCCAATTGCAGACTGTTCCGTGAGTCTTACTATAGGCGGACGCATTGAGTCCAGGATTGGAGGGTGTTCATGTCTGGTTGGCTTTTCGGCGCGATAAGGGTAAATAGTTTCCCCTTTTTCGAAGTTAATGAATTTTAGTCCATTGTCTGTGCACCACCAAGGATCTGTCCACCAAGGACGAGAAAATTGTATACGTGCAGCAACCAAAAGCTCTTTGTCCAGAGGTAATGCCGTATGTGCATGTGTGGAGTTAATATCCAGTGTCCATATAGAATTATGAACATTTTCTGAGAACTCAGCAGTAGGCACAGAACTGAGAATTGATTTTACAAACTCAGGTGGATATAATAGAAGTGTTTTGTATCTGATCGATAGTGTTTTAATTTGTCAATGCGATTTTCGTGCGTCGTGTGTAGTTCGGTTGATGCGATTAAATGCGTATGTTGAGTTTGGAATTACGGAAAGGGTGTATGCGTGATCCAGTTTGAAAAACATTGTTAACTGCTTTCGAGGACGTCCCTTCATTTGAATCGCTTTTTGTTAAGTCAATCGTAGATTGTGGTAATGTGGCTATAGACTACCGTTTTTGCTTATTGAGCAGAAGATCTGGGGTTAGAACCTAAGCCTCGTTGCATTACGGAATTGATCTATACCAGGCCTCTATTGTCGAAAATCCTTAATAATAAAACACGGGGAAACGATTCGGAAAAGTAAAACATCTGTTTAGACACATGTGACGTATACTTGATCCGGTTTGCAAGACATTGTTAAATGCTTTCGGGGATGTAATTTCTTTTTAATAGCTTCATGTAACCGATAATTATGATTTAAGGAGCGCGAAGGCCTTACAGTGGCCGTTTTTGCTTACTGAAACATAAGAAGCACTCCTAGCGAATCAATTTTTTTTTAGTTTTCATGCGTATGCCGAAGTGAATCCAAATATTTGGACGGAATCGAAACTCAGATGACAACAATTTGTGACTCTGACTCTTAATCAAAAACATCCAAATACATTTACAAGTCAACTTTGATAGAAACATTCTTTTTTTTTTTTGTTCAATCCGTTTGAAAACGAAAGGTACGGAAATTAGACCTTAACCCTACATTGAAATCGATTGTCAAGTACAATCACTTTACAATGTACACGAAAAGTTTCTTACTTTGTTCCGAAAATGTCGCGAAAAATACAAAAAAAAACTTCAAAGCCGTTTTTCTCAGCTCTTGCTGGGAAACCGAATGGGACAATTATGTTGAAAATGGCAATGATAAGTTTTTAACGATAAATTTAATTTAGTTATTTTGAAACACTGTATATACATCCTAATATAATGACTCTATTTTCTTTCATTACAGTTTTGTTGTCAATCCTTTAACGCCCGCTCAAGAAACTTTGTGCCAGTTGCAAAATGTTACAGCTGCCAACAATCCTGCCAGTACACCACAAAGATCTTCCAGCATGTACTATATGGTGAAATTACAGCTGCGGTCAGAAAACGCATGCCAGCGGCCATGGAATTTCGAACGCGTTCCAAATAAGATTATTCGGGGTCTAGATAACGCACTAATCTATACCAGTACAAAGGAAGCATGCCTTTCCGCGTGTTTAAACGAAAAACGGTTCATTTGCCGCTCTGTGGAGTACGACTACAACAACATGAAGTGTGTACTGAGCGATTCCGATAGAAGAACAACCGGACAATTGGTTCAGCTAGTCGATGCTCAGGGTGTTGATTATTTCGAAAACCTTTGTTTGAAACCAGGTCAAGCGTGCAAATTCACTAGGGGCTTCCAGCTTCCACGCACGGGCGTCTCAGAAGATAAAGTTTCGCAGTATGTGGGACTACATTACTACACGGACAAGGAGCTGCAAGTCACGTCAGATTCGGCATGCAAATTAGCTTGTGAAATTGAAACAGAGTTCCTGTGTCGATCATTCCTTTACATGGGACAACCACTTGGATCACAATACAACTGCCGCCTGTACCATCTCGATCACAAATCGTTGCCCGATGGACCATCGACTTACTTGAATGGAGAACGTCCCCTGATCGATGTTGGAGAGCCATTAGGAGCATACTACGAAAATACGTGTGAAAGTGAGTAGCATTTAATAGGATTTTTGGTTGTCAATTACTGATTAATTGTTTTCGCATTTTGCGTACGTTGGCGATGGGCGACGGATTATATTGGCAGCCTATGATGCTACTTTCGAGATTTCCGGTGTATCATCAAAACTATTTGTGTAATAGTTCTACCATCCGGGTTACCGTTCGTTTCTGGTATTTGTTTATTAGGGTCTACCTATTACTTAAATTCAGCATGGACACATCTTCTGTCTGAAAATTATACAGGAATCCCCGAAGAGTGTGGTGTGTGGTGCTGTCCACATATCGTTTTTTCTAGTGACTAGTTTATAGTTGGCACTAATCACATACAGCTCAATCGGTTGGAAAACAGCCGAGAAATAACGGTCGGTGACCAGCTTTGCGGGGTTTGTGACTTAAATTGATTTTGGCTGAAAGCGTTAAACATTAAAAATAAGTGAAACATAGGTGGATACGCCAACAACAGACCTCGTTGACAGACAGACTCAGACCAACCAGGTCAACTTCAACTTGTTAATGACAGTCCCATCATCGGTGTAAAACAATAAGGCTTGGTTGGCTTTTTTAGACACAATTTTTCTCGGACTCTATTTATCCGTTGTCTATTAATTTCAAACTAAGAAATGATACATTCTCAACTTTTCATAGATCAGTCCATAATGCAAAATGGATCTGTTGTACCACAATGAATTCCGGATTATGTTGTGAACAAACTCTTCCAGGGGGGAAATTTTCACCTGCCTGATGGTGCCCCAAGTATGTTTTAAAATAACTTTATAGCTGGAGGCGACCCCGGCGTAGTGGTTAACATTCATACCTCTCACGCCAAAGTCACGAGTTCAAATCTCACCTCCGGACAAGTCACGAATGACCCAAGAGTTTGAAAGTCACTATAAAAAAAAAGAAGAAGACGAACTTTTTACAGCTGTTTACATGGAAAACCTTTAAAAATTCTTTAATTTTCGAATGACGGTTTCCGGACATTATGGTCATCAGGTTTAGCAATAATTAATGCAGTGGAAACAAATTTACTGTAGAAAGTTGCCGAACCCTCAATAAAACCATAAAAAGAGCATTTTGATTTCATTATTTCCGTTCTACAATGTCATCCAAAGAGCGGCACCGGTGGTGTAGTGGTAAGCGCGGTTACCTCTCACCCCAGAAGGCCTGGGTTCAATCCCAGTCGGCGCCGCCGGGATGTTCTGAGGCAGAAGTAAAGCCGTTGGTCCCTGGTTCATGAGCTAAAATGGGTCGATAGGTAGGGTCTAGGTGTTTGAGCTGCCTCCCTGGCGTCGGTAGCATTGGTGCTCAGCACGAAAAACAAGATCGACGGAAAACAAATCAAGGGAAAAAAAAGTCATCCAAACCTATTAAAAACTGTTTTAAAACAACTTTTTTCATATTAAAAGCTACGCTTTTTAATTAAATTTAACAAAACGGAAGAGATGTTTATATTTCAATGATTGAAAATCTGATTGCTGCTGAGAGTATGACATAATTAGTTTGCTATGATGGCAATATAAATAAAGTTTTTTTAAGTATACTAAAGTCCTCTTGAGAACGTATGGTTCTAATCGAGCAAACCAGTGCATGTTGACAGTTCGATTGGAACATCTCTTGGCAAACGTCTATACTTTTACTATAGAGCTTTGATCTATACGCCAAAAGACTGCCAATCTCAGATTTTGGTAAAAATTCTAATATGATTTTGGTAAAAAATATTCTCGGGTCTCCTTTCCAGCTATAAAGCAAGACCATGCTGGAGGTGGCTCTGCTCAATTCCCAGTTCGATCTAGGAATTTTTCAGGTTGGAAAATTTCGTGACTTCCCTGGATATCGAGTATGATGGTACTTACCATGCTATTATACTAATGCAAAAATGCCACTGGCTTAGAATACTCTCAATTAACTAAGCTGTGGACTGGCGCAAAGTCCGAGTAGGGACTTAATAAAGCCAAAGATGAAGAAGGTTAAACGGTTTTATGTATGGTCATTACACTTTATAAATGGTCTATTGGTTTCGCAACAGCTCGTTCAAAAGCAAAAATGTTTTATCAATTTGACAGTTTTGTACGATTTCAAAACAGCTATTTTGATGTGTTTTGCTGTGCTTTGAGTGTTTCTTAGTGGAAATTTATAATTTTTGTTAGTTTAGTGGACATGTTTTCACTATTTAAAGGATGCTGTAAGTACAAACTATTGAAAACAGCCGAATCTTATCTTACAATTGGGCCTTACAGATGGGTGAAAAATTAGTTTTATTGTATATATTTGACGTGGCAAAACTGTCTCGGTAGGAGAAATAGAGAAATCGGATTGTGCTAAGAAAAAAAAGCTCCATTATCCGAGCTGAAGCGTAGCAAGGACTTCAAAAAATTTAAGCATTTTAGAAACTGAAGCGGACGAGCAGCTTTTCCTCCTTTTCCTCCTAGTTCTGTATAAACTTGTTAAAATCATCCATTTTATATATAACAAGCACAGCAAAAAAATAATTTTGATATCACATCAAAGTGGATGCACTACAATCATGTCGAAAATTTCATGTAATTTTTATGACCACATAAATAAACAAATGCAGTAAAAGCAGCGTAATGTCAGTTCATGCATTGTATTAATGATAATTTTGTCCTTTTTAGCAAGTAATATTACACCATATTTTCGACATGATTGTAGTGCATCCACTTTGACGTGATATCAAAATTATTTTTTTGCTGTGAGATGTAGTTTTTTAATGTCATTGGTTATACATTAAAAACCATTAGGTTACATGAAACTATTCAGTTTTAATCCAAACCTTGTTGTTTGAGGATAAACTTAATGCAGACGGAAAAGTTTTATCAGGCTCTCTCTCTCAAAACCACAATAAACAATTATTGATTTTTTTTATGATGGTTTTATCAAACAACTTGGGTGGTCTTAGTTTGCGTGGGCGAGTTGTCAGTTTCGATAAATGTACGTTTAAAGGAAATGTTTACAAAGGTATTTACGTCGGCTTGGTTATTTCCTCGATAATTAAACCACTAGAAGGAACATTCAACCCCTCCCAAAAATAAAACATAATACAGTATTTCAGGCATAACATTTGATAACGGCACAAAAGCATTTGTAAACAAACTTTCTAAGGCCCTTTACACGCGGACCAAAGTACGCCCACGCAAACCAATACCACTTTCGGAAAGGTGATAGTTGCCCTTATCCGATGATGTTGTTGGTTTGCGTGAGCGTACTTTGGTTCACGTGTAAAGGGCTTTAGAAAGTTTGTTTACAAATGCTTTTGTGCCGTTATCAAATGTTATGCCTGATTTCTTCCATTTATGCGGCAGGTGGTAACGTCCTCCCATCGCTGTTTTTATGCTGTTCTTCATCCAATCACGCATGTATGTGATTAGTGTCAACCATAAACTAGTTATCAATAGAAAATCAGCTCAATTGGTTGAAGGACAGCCCAAAAACAGTGATGAGTCGACGGTACCACCCACCGCATAAATAGAGGAATTTAAATGTCAGAATAATGATGAAATTAAAAAAAAAAATAGTGAAAAATGTGTGTTAAGTTTGAGCCACAAAGAATAAAAAAAACCGTTCGTTTACACCTGGGTGGTATATTTATATATCTGAAAATTGTCTCATTCTCATCATAATTTCTAAGAGTTCAAAAACATACAATTCAGTTCAAAATGACCCTCGGGTCTCCGGAAACCGAACTTCTCTAAAAATTATACGAACAGCATCAAGATGATGAGATAGCAATTAACTATATTTTCATGGTACATGGATTTACAGGATTGATCATCCTTCCAAAATGTAAACTCATTTAGTTAAAAACTAACCGTGCACAAAGTATTTGAAGTAAATATGGGAATTAACAGCAGAGAGAAGCAAACTTTTTGTTCATATATTTCTATATTTTCACCATATAACTGAGCTTGTATGAAAGTTTCTCAGCTATAACTTTCTGAAGACCATTTTTCGAATAATATATTCGGGACAAAAGCTATTGATCATTCAAGACACTGATGTCTTATGAATCTGCTCAATCAACTGCTCAGCAGGCAACATTGGTGTTTATGTCGCGTGAAATAGAGCATATAAATCATGGCACAATACGGGGGTGGGACGTTTGGCCGAATGAAATTAATAGATTTCGAACCATTTGAAAAAATAGAATTCTCGAAGTTTTTTGATAGCTTCCAGGCGTAGTGATGTTTCCGAGATTTTTAACACTTGGATATTTTTCAGACTATTCGAATAAGAAATGTTTAAGTTTTAAGAATTTAGTGAAGTCTTGGACTGTGGTTTTCAGTTTCTCAGAAAGGAAGAAATTTAATATATTTCCAGGTTTTAAAGTTTGTGAAGAAATCAAAATTTAATGTTTTACTTAAGTATTTTTCCTTCATTTAAAAATGAGCAGTTCTTAAAGTTTTCTTGCTTTTCTGCCATTTTCCAGCTTTTCAAAGATACTCATTCTTTTCTCACATCAATGTTTTTGTCTTGGAGACGGATAGATGTACACAGAAAAAATTCTGAATTTTTGCTATCGCGTAAAATCTCCCTCGGTTAATGTTGAGCTACAGTTGGCATAAACAACGAAATCGTTTACAAGCTTGCATACAATATTGCTAATTTATACGATATTGTGCTTAAATTTTCACGAAATATCGAGTAAATTTATGCCAAATCTAGCGTTAGTTTTATGAGCGCTATATCTCGCAGAAATTTACATGAATTTTTCAAACGGTGAATTAAGGTTTTCTGTAAAAGATTTTTCCTTCTTTTTGAATGATAATTCTAACAGTACAAAATGTTCAAGTAGGATATGATTTCAAATGGTGCTTCTAGACAAGCTCACATAAATCATTGATAATTTTTTAAAGAATTAGTAATGTGTTATTACAAGAGCATTCAATTATAATTATCCCAATAGTTTAAGGGATTATGGTGAAATTAATTTAATAGATTTACCCAATGGTTAGAAGGAGACGTTCTCCTAA